TCTGTAAAACGGTACAGAGATGGGAGTCGTGCTCTTTCTCATAATGCGAGTGCACCAAGATGTTGTCGATGAACACCACTACAAACTAGTCTAAGTACTAATGGAAAATCATGTTCATCAAGTCCATGAACGATGTCGGGGAATTAGTGAGACCGAAAGACATTAATAAGAACTCATAGTGACCATACCAGGTTCTAAACGTAGTTTTAGTTACATCGGCCTCCTTAACTTTCAACTGATAATATCCCGACCTCAAATCGATCTTAGGGAACACTCTAGCTCCCCTGAACTAGTTAAACTGGTCATAAATCCTCGGGAGCATATATCGATTCTTCACGATTAGCTTATTCAATTGGCGGTAGTCAATGCATAACCTCATTGAGTCGTCCTTCTTTTTCACGAATAATCCAGAGTTGATCATGGCATAACTTCAATGCCACACTCTAGTTCCCTATCAGGCGGTGAGCCCAACAACTCTTCTGGGAAAACATCTGGAAAGTCTTTCACTACGCAAATTTCCTAAAGGATCAAACTAGAGACACTAGTGTCGACAACGTGAGCTAAAAACACCTCACATACCACGCTTATTAACTTATGGGCCTTTTGGGCCGAAACGACTCTTGAGACGCAACTAAGATCCTTGCTTGCCATTACGACTTTGGTACTATCAGGTTTACGTATTTTGAGCTACCTCGCTCTATATCTCAGACTCAGATCATGCTCGGTTAGCAAATCCATCCCAAGTATTTCGTCAAAATCTCATAACGGTAGCTCCATCAAATCAACCGGAAAAGTTTGGTCTTGAATTTCTACAAAGCATTTTTGGTGAACCTTTCTACTAACATTCTAACCATAACAGGGTTGAAACCCAAACTTTTACATCTAGGTCCTCTGCTTGGATATTGCCCTCTCAGATAAGGTCATAGAAAATATAAGAATGGGTTGAACCGAGATCTATCAATGTAGTAATGAGTATACCAAAACTCTAAAGATACCTGAGATAACATTGACATGCTCGTAGTCCTCTTGAGCCCTGATGGCGTACTAGCGATAAGCAAATCTAGTCTTGGGTCCTGCTACTGATCTGGCGGTACCCTAGATCTGCTTCCCAAAAGTTGTATTACCTCATCCCTGATAGGATCCTAAAAACTCTATGCGGATTGGATTGGTCTCTAAGTAGTGGACGGTGCGACACTCCCTGCCGCGGGACATTCTCTAAGTATTGGACCCATAGCAAGCTTGAGAAATCCTATGGCACTCCCATGAGTGTCTCCTGCCATAATGTCTGCATGTCCAGGCTACATGGTCCGATTTAATCCACCAGTACTCGTCACATATATTGAAGTCAAGGGTCTCCTATGGTCCCTGAATCCCTGTCTGCGGTTCGATACATATAACGACCTCTAGAACTGGGAAGAGGAAAGTAACCACGATCCTCAAGAGTTTTTAACCCTCTTCGCCGAGGTCTGGGATGGTCCGGTAGTGTCAGGTGCTCGACGACTCTACCTCGCAGAATCACTCGCAAACTAGCTCTCCTCCTCATGATCTGCTCAACCGCCTTAGCCTGGAGGGTCAACTCAGCAAACACTCTCAGTGGGTTGGCAGCCAGATGGGTGAGAATTTCAATGTGAAGGCCCTCTCTGAACCTCCTACAGTGGTACTCCTCGGTAGACACTAACTTGGGTGCATAGCGGCTCAAGCGCAGAAACTCACTCTCATACTCGTAGACCTAGTGATCCCACCAGCTTAGTTGTACAAACTGGTCCCTCAAGTTGTCAGTGTGGGTTTCTCCGATGTACTTTCCCTTAAACTCAGACAGGAAGAGTTCCCATGCCAGACACTCAGGCTTTAGCACCATCTCTACTGTCTTCCACCAATCAATCGCATCACCCTTCAATAAGCGGTGATGCACTTGAGGTTACCCTCAAGGGTAAGATGAAGTTGTCACAGGGTGCGAAAGGTCTCACAGAGCCACTGGTCGACAGTTACTAAATCGTCCTCGTTAGATCATAAGAAGTCAATGGTCTTATAACGGTGGAGCCTCTCAATAGAGGATTCCTGAAGGGCTACTAGAGGTAGAGCATGTGGTGTAGGTGTTGCAGATGTCCTAGGGATAGCCCTAACTATGTGCCTCAACGCCTGTGTGAGTTCACAGAAGATTTTCGCCTCATTTATCTCGACCTCCTCCCTTATGCCTAAGTCATTAGAATCGGGAACAAACTCGCCGCCCGTGCCTCCAACTAACAAGGCACGGATTTCTTCACGTCCCTCCTAACAGTAGGCGAGAAAAGAGTTAGAATTGCCATTTTCAGACATTATAGTACGCTTAACACTGTAGAGGCATGTACTTCATGGACACTTAACAACTATAACCCTTGGGACACTTAACGACTAAACCTGATGCTCTGATATCACTAAATGTAACACCATAATTTGATCTGACCAAAAAGCCATTGGATTATGATGTCACATGGAACCACGTGAGTGGTTAACCATATTTTTAAAACTTTTTATCAAATGAGCAATGATAATATCCAAATAACATACGCTTACAAAATATAAGTATTTAAATTACAGGGTAGCTCCTGAAAAATGCCTCCAAAATATATAAGTAAAACAAATAAAAAGTTTAGACTCAAAATACAAATAAGAGTCTATGACAGTACATGCCCTCTAAAACACTCAATATGTATTCTAAAGAAATCAGATTTGGAAATCCGAGTTTGGCGAAGAGCTTCTCAACTGAAACCTAAAGACATGCGCACAATGTCTCTACTTACTGCGACATTTAAGGAAGACATGAGTCACATAACATCAATGTCTCCCTAAACTTTGGGTTAAGTCTGGGTCACGAAGCATCGGTACTTACCAGGCTAGTTTATTCCTCTAGAGTACTCGGGACATATCCAGGTCGCATAGCATCGGTACATCATCCAACTAGTGATTATAGTGTCTATGCACTAATTTGGATTTATCCAGATAATCACCACACAAATATATTAACGTCATTAAGTAACTCGGGTGTCCTTTTCATTTCTCGAGCATCAAACAAAGGCATAAGTCTTATGGAATATTACCTCATTAAGATCTTATGATATCATTAATTTAATTATGGTTATCAATGTATTCTTAGGGAATAGTATACCCCTTTAAGGATCATATTCTACATTTCTCAAAACACCTAGCAAAACTGCCAAAACTTCACGTGGGTATCAATACTCACCCTCCAAAGTATCAATACTCCCTTGAGTATCAATACCAAAATTACATTCAATGTTTTAGAAAATATCACAGTACTGATACCCCTATGGGTAGTATTGATACTACCCCCTTGGTATCGATACTCCCTAAAGTATTGTTACCAAAATTGTATTCTGGAATTTGATTTGGGACCCCGAGTATCGATATTAACCCCTGAGTATTGATACCACATGAATAGTATCGATACTCCCTACTGAGTATTAATACCCCCTCACAAACATTTACATTTTTAGCCTCCCACAAAAAAATAATATCGGTACTGTTCTTACAGTACCGATACCTTCGACCTAGAACCCCTGTTTTCCCTCATGAAAACACTTCCAAAATACTCCTAATGTACCCTCAACGTCCCCATTTGTTGTTTAAGACTTATTTAACTTGTAAGGAGCATAAAAGGTCATCACTTGAGCATAAATAACATCAATCCTGTTTTCATGCTTAAAACCCACACCCAAGTAAGCACAAAGACTCATAACACCAAACAAGCAATAAGTCATACATGTTGATCTACAAGTGGTAAAGAAGGATTAGAAATGTGTTATCTTTCACTTAAGAGTTACAAAATAACCTCAAGTTCAACCAAGGTTCACCTTCTCCTTGTTCTTCATTTTTAGCTTTCACCCACTTTTCTCACTAAATCAAAAGCAAAGAAAAGGATCACTAACTTACTTGAAGGCCTAGAAGAAGTAAAAATGTGGTTCTAAACTCTTTGGGACAGATTTAGAGCACCCAAGAGTCTTAGAATCTAAACCCCCCACTAAACCTCTTTTATGGTCACCATTACCAAATTCTAAGGTTAAGAGCTCATTTTGAAGATCTATAGGAGATTATTTTGAAACTTACCTTCTCAATTTCGGACCTAGGGTGTATACCAACAAAGTTTTCACCTTTGAAGAAAGGAATAGGAGAAGAGAGAAGAGAAATTGGATTAGGAAGAGGACAATAGTGAAGAAAAAGAGATGAAAGAGTATGCTTCCATTTTTGTGCTTCCTTCTCTGTCGTGACTTTATCAACCATTAAGGGGATCAACTTTTGAAGCATTTCAGGGGTAAATTGCACTCCTAATCCCTCTCCTTTGATACTCAACTCAAAAACGCCCTTTTTAAGTCATGTTGGGCTCAAACCCAAACCAAAACTAACCACATATTAACCCAACACTCTTAAATAGTCCATTGGTCTATTCAAAACCAATTCAGGTTTTACTCGGACCTACTAACCCGAAAATCGGGACATTACATGTTCAAATCATGGCGCTTGCCAATAGAGTAAACTAGGTTGGGAGGGTCGCTTTTGTCTCTACAGTACCCGATCCGGATTAATCGATCAATATATCGGATACCGGTTGTTGTACCAAAAAACTATTCAAAGCTCTACATAAAACTAGAATTGTTGAAGCAATTTTGTTGATAATGCTTCGAGTAGTTTTATTGACAAACGTAATTCACAGTCATCTACACTACGCTCATCAATTGGATCAGACCCTTTAAGGCATTAACAAAGCAAAAGATTCAAGTGGCAAAAGCACCTTTAAGGATCAATATTTAGGCCAGGCCAACTAGTTTCTCGCTGAGCTCCCATATTTTGCGTGCTTTCTCTTGATCACTGGCTTCCTGAAGACTGGTTCTCAAACGAAGCCGAAGCCTTGTTCGAGCTCTAATAAAAACCCGATTTCATCAACCTATTGAAGATCACCGTAATTCATTCAAGAAAATACATAACTAGCATTTCATGATGAAATAGAACACAAACACCAGTCTTTGTTATTTGCTTGTTTACAAGAAACTTCAAAAAATTCTACAGAATTTTTATTTTTTGGGAGAAAAGTAAATAAAAAAAATGATGAATCTAATACGAAATACCATCTATTGCCTATATATCGAACCCTTAAGAACATGAAATGGAACTAAAAATCCCAGAAAATGAAGCAACCAAATTAATAGCATGGAGTTCATGCAGTCGCATATTACTGCAACAACTTGAAGTCCCAATTCTCTTCCGGCATCGCTCATTTGTAGCCTCCCATGCCAACTCCGGCCTCTCGGCCGCCTCCGTAAGGCTGGAAGCTGTTCTCCCTAGCATTTGAGTAGCTAATAAAATAGAACTTATTGACTATGGCTGTTAAGAAAATGAAGGCTGCCGCTGCACCAAACACTCCTTTTCTCACTGTTTCACAAGACGGAGGCTGCTCGCTGAAGATGGTCCGGTACTTGGTGTGGTAAGCATTCCGGACCGATCCGGCGAGCAAGCATATCTCGGCTATTAGGAAAAACAACCTGGTACACAGGCAATTCAAAGAATTAAGCGAAACTTTCAAATCTGCAAATTTTGGCACAAGTTTGTGACATACCAGCAAACAATGAAAAGGATGACTGCCCAGGCCCTTGAACCACTAGGGTTCATGGCCTTTCCACAGCAGAAGCATCGGCTGGCGACCATTATAAGGGCTTGGCTAGCCACGAGGAACAAAAATGCACCAACACCATAGCCAGTGGATATGTCTGAGTCATATACACAATAGTTGTAATTAACTTCACTGTCCTGGACGATCTTGGCCTGCAATAAAACATATACGTACACCATAAGTTGCTTTGAGTTGAATTAACAATCAATCACAAGAGATCTACCTTTTTTTTTATGGAAACTCAGCTGAGATCTGGTAAATTCATACACTTGACAATTATCACAGATAAAATCATTTTCCCCTTCTGTTTGATTTGCATAAAGCTAATATACGTGTATATGTAATGATATAAGCTTCGAAAACAGCAGTTTCATGTACAAAACTAAACCCCAGAAAGTTAAATCAACGCTTACCACTGTTTTCAAACAGGAAATCCCACTTTCTTTCATTTTCCAGCAAAAAAGTAGCAAAATTTCAACAAATCCAGAAACTGTATGAATTAATGCCTACCAGAAAAACAAAAGCATCAAAGAAATTGAAAGGGAAAGGGAAACTTACAGTGCTTCTTCTTTGCTCAGCTGCAACAGCTAAACCAAAAGCAATAAGATCAAGAACAAAGACAGCAATCAAAAGAAGCTTAGAAGCCATAGATGAATATAATGGAAGCTTCTCTGTGTTTCCCTTTCTCTCTGAAACTCTCCCAGTCTAAATATACAAAAGAAACCACTGTCAATGTTGAGCAACCAAAGCAAATAATTAAAAATGAAGAGAAAAAAAATATGTTTTTTTATATAAAAAAAATGTAATTTTCAGGAGAAAATGACACCTTAGCCTAACTTGAAAATGGATTTCACATATTTGTCAAAACAGAGGGAAAATGTTTATTTGATTTAGATTTAAAAAATAATTAAAGCAATATTAAGAAAATAGTTATTTATTTTTGGGGAAGGTGAAGGTTGTTGGAAGGGAGCTTTAAGGTCGCTTCATGAAAGGGAATAAATACCCGCCATAATTAACTGCCTTTGGGAAGCCTTGGAGGTACAACATCGTGTAGCATGATGTACCAACATCTACAGCTTGTTTTACACTCTTTAAAAAAAGTGGTATGTTTTGGTAGTTCATGAAAAAGAACTGTTGCCCACTAAAGTAGAGTATGTGAATTTCCCTCTTCCATCTCTTTTTCTCCCTTTTTTTTAAATAAATAAATAAAGTTAAAGTTAAAAACACAACTAATTAAGTACTTGACATCAATATTATTGAAAAATAAAAAAATAATATTAAAAATTTTATAACATAAATAAAATAATATTAAAGATTATTTTCTAAAATTTTACCCCTAATAGAAAATAAAAATAAAATAACTCAATGGTTAAGTTATAATATAGCCCTATTAGTTTCTTAATTCTGATTTTTAATAGAGTTATCTAACTTACAACTCAGAAAAATCATTAAGGTTAAATTATTTCATTAGTACTTATATATTATGTATAAATTATGAATTTAGTCCATATATTTTAATTTTTATAATTTATATTTAAAATTTCAATCATATTCTAAGAAGTGATTGTGAAATTTGTTAAATTAAACTCTACAATTAATTCTTATATTATATATTTGTTTTAGATTTCTTTATATTTCTTCAATTTGATAATTTAAAACGATGTAGTTTAATTAAATTGTTAAAGTCTATATTATTTGAGTTAGAGTTAGAATTTTAAATTTTGGAAAATAAAAGGACAAAAATTGATTAAATAAGAATACAAGATTAAATCTATAATTTATTAATAATACAGTTCTAATTATACAATTTGAACAATCATTTATTATATATTAAGTATTGTCTCCATTGAAATGAAATGACAATTTTTTGCGTAGGGAGTGTCGGTGAAGTAATTTGACGTTTTTACCACGCAAAGCCGACAACTCATAAACCTATTTATTTTGTTGGAAACGTGAAAGAAAAGTATAAACTATACTTTAATACCAAAAATATTATTTTTGTTCATTTTGGTATTCAAATTTTATTTTTTAAAATTATACCTAATATTTAGGTTTCATTTTGGTACATGTCATGAAAAAATTAATAGAATTTTTGATGTGGTATTTAAAAAAAAATTAAATGATAATGTAACATTGCCTTATGATGACATGTCAATAGTACCATTAAATTTCTAGGGATAGGTACCAAAATGAAATCTAAACTAAATATTAGGTATGATTTTGAAGTAAAATAAAGTTTATGTGCCGAAAGGAAATAAATATAATAATTTAATACTAAACTTGTAGTTTACGCAAAAAACATTGAAGGCTCATATCTACCGCAAGATTGAAACCACGCGAACGGAGAGTGCGTATTGCCGACGAAATTGACAATAAAGACAAGAGGAGGAGGAAATCCTCTCTTTGATTGTCATTCAGTACAGTCTGGATACAGATAATTCCGGACATTCTAACAAATATGATTTTTCACGTGGAATAACAAACACGTGTTGAACCGCTGGAGAAAATGTAATGAATGAGTTGATTGTTTACTTCATAATTAAGTGTTAAATAATTCAAATGTTAATGATTTGGAGGTTCTGGATGAATTAACTCTGAATGTGACATGCTATTTGTTTACTGGCTCTGAATCATTCAGAATGTACTTCTATGTTGAATCATTCGGTACTGTTTTACTAAATCAGTCAACACTAAATCGATTTTTCGAATCGAGTTTTGCTCACCCCAAATTTAAATAGTTTATTCAAGCCACTCTTTGTTATTTTTTAACAGAGATGGTGACGTGAGTTAATAAAATTGACATGATTATACATTTAGCCCTCAATATTTATATATTCTACCAATTTAATTTTAATTTTAATTTAATTTAAAAAATTAACTCTCAATCTAAAAGTGCCATGTGTCATTATATTCTTAGAAGATTAATTTATTAAATTTAATATTTTAATTGAATAATTTTTTCACCAATCAAGTGATAATACATGTCACCACTAACGTGAAAACAAAATCAAGATGAATGCTTACAAGGGAGTCAAACAAAGGACCTTCGTCCCTAGGCAAACCTTTACCGCCGAGGCAAACTTCAATTTTGATTTCAAATTACACAGGCTTTTATATATTTTGTTTGCAATTATTTCATATATATATATATATATATAGAAAATCCAAAGTCACAGAATAACTTAAATCATAAAAAAAATTATAATTTGAATCTTAAATTTTTGTCTTCAAAACTTTTTTTAATTATTTTTAATTTTTAATTATTTGGAAATAATTGTGAAAAAAAATTAATTTTAAATTTAAAATATAAAAATATTATATTCATTTTTTAAATCTTTCATTAACTATAATTTAATATATATATATATATATATTTTAATAATTATTTATACATGTATGTATGAAATAATGGTAAACAAAATATTTAAAAGCCTGTGCAATTTGAAATCAAAAGTGAAGTTTGCCCCAACGATAGAGGCTTGCCCAAGGACTCCTCTGGTCCTTGGTTTTGACTCGCCTGGTAAGTATTCATCTTAATTTTGTTCTCTCTACCTAGGTGGTGACGAAAAATTATTTAATTAAAATATTAAATTTAATTAAATTAACCCTTTAATAATATAGTGATACATGACACCTTCATATTGGGGGTTAATTTTTTAAATTAAATTAAAATTAGAACTAAATTGATAAAATACGTAAATATTGAGGATTAAATGTATACTTATACCAATTTTATTAATTGACACGTCTCTATCTCTGTTAAAAATTAACAGAGGATGGCTTGAATGAACCATTTAAATAATTGAGTGGTATGTTTGATCAAATTAAACATCGGTGGTTAATGTGATTTTTTTCAAAAGAAGAAATGCATTAAATTCTAATTGCATCAGTGATTACATCAGTTCTTATATATTCTCTAGCTCATCATAATAAAACTAATACGGATTGTGATTCGACAAGGCCCATAGGGCAATGTTATGTGTCACTTTGTTAGCCTTTGGGTTGACATATTGAACTTTAATTCCAATGTTTAAGGTAAGGAGCCCTTGAACTTCGTTGAATAACAATTCAATCGTTAAAACATCTTCGTTAAATCATCTTCGCCATGATTGATGAGCCTATTCACAATGGACATCGCCTCAACTTTAATAATTGCATTGTTCTAGCCGTTTTCAAGAGCAAACTTAATCCCGTGTAAACGCCTCAACTTTAGCAAATTCAGCAAAGAATGGGAACAAGATTTGTTTATACATTCCTCCCACTACCAAGCCAGAAGAATCCATTGCCACCACTCCAAAGGCTACAACGTTTCTTGCAACATGCCCCATCAACATTAATCTTGTGGGTGGAAGCAGAGGGTTTAGTCCATTTCCGGGAACAGAACGAACCTGATGTTTTGTGAGTCCAATGCTCATTAACTTCAAAATATTCAGAGCAGAGATTTCAAGCTTCAATAACCACTTCTCTATCTTCCTGGGTGTCTCTTTTGTGAAGGAATTTGTTACGTCTGTTCCACAAGTTCCACAGAAGAACCACTTGTAAACATCAATTTTTTCATTTTATTATTATTATTAAAATTATCATTATTATTATATATTATATATATATTATTATTATTATTAAAAAATAAAAAATAATTACAAGCCCAAGAGGAGGCCCAACTCTGGCCTGTTTTACAACCAACTTGAACCAGGCCTGAGAAACCCAAATCATTTTGGGGTTTCAGCTAGGGTTTTCAAACCCTAGCTCCCAGCCGCCGTTTTCAGTGAGTTCCAGCCGCCCCACGTCCACCGCTGCCACGCCTCGTCGAAAGTTTCCAGAAGAGCCACTCCAGCCGCACACATGTCGCCCCCAACGGTGAGTCACCACTGGAAGTTTGGTGACTCACCAAACTCTACTCTTTTACCTGGTCTGAAGCAAGCGCCGATGATGGTTATAAAACCATCAACCGAATCACCTACAAAAGAGACGAAGAACGAGGAGGAAAAATGGAGATCCAACAGCAACAAAAACCACCCAAAAATCGAAACAAAGAGAGAAGAGAAGTCTTACCGAGGAAGCTGCAACGCTACCGGAGCCTTACACATCACCGGAAACCTTCGAAAACAGAAGGTATCTTCCTAGATCTGCTCCAATCGGGGGTTATTTAAGAAAAAGGGTTACCGGAATCGTCGTTAGGACGGTCCGATCTACATTTTGGTGTAATATTGTATTTTTCCGACCACCGGAGGCGGTGGTCGGCGGTAGGTTTAGCGGCGGTGATCGGCGCCGGATTCCCTCCGGCGAGGGAATACCATAGAGGGTAGAGAGAGTTCTCATCTATCTCAAATAGAGAGAGAATGAGAAATGGAAACAAATGAAAAATGGCCTTAGGCCGAATGGGTTAAGGGTATAAATACCCTCACCAAAACGACGTAGTTTTGGTGAGGGCCTCAGTGTAATTTCGAATAGGGTTTAACCTTTTCCGCTACCCTTGTAACTTTGTAACATTACATTTTAGTCACTTTAATCAAGCTTCAAACCTTTTAATTCAGACTCTTAATGTTATTTCTTTATAATTTAGTCACTGACATAAATATTTTAGACAAATAACAGATTTAGTCCTTTAATTCTAATTAATTTTATTTTAATCTCGAATACATGTTTTAAATTTATTTTAATCTGATATTCGAATTTAAGATAATTTTATTTTAGTCACTAAATTAATAAATAGGTAAAATAGCATGCTTAGCCCCTGTAATATTA